TGCTTGCGTAGAACCGCGGTTTGGATTGTACTTTGTCCAAATAACCTTGGCCCATGATGTCTTGGGCACTCATGAAGAGTTAAAGAGTTTTACAAAATAGTTGTCACCTCTTTACATTTAAATGTTTTAAACATTTACATGAATCTACAGTTACACACTCCAGGACCTCCCTTATCGTCGTCAGGGTTTTCATCTTGAACGCTTTCAGAATGAGAATCTACATCTCCCATGTCGATCGCTGCAGTCTGAGACCTCCCCATATCAGGATTGTCTCTGGAGTGACGCTCTGTCCTATGGGGCGCTTCGCGATTTCGAGGACTCGTATAAAACAGATGGGATCCTCCGCTCAAAGGGACACGGTGAAGTGGACCACCGTCAGCTGATCGGTGATTTCCATCTGGAAACACCCCCTCTTTAGACTGTGCCCTTACATTCTCTAAAATGCTGTTATCTTGGTTTTTACCCACAGAACTAGTCGGAGAAATTGCCTTTTTAGGAGTATTAGTTCCTACATCTGTCTGCCACGTTTGGCCCGTTGCTGGATTGCGTTTAAACATGGCGGGTTTGGAAGGTGCAGAATTTACAGATTGATTGGTTGTAGCGGCCCCTTCTTTGCTTGTCTTAAGCAGATCAGCTGTGTTTGAGGAATCTTCCTCTTTAATTGGATACGGCAATGATCCGTCCCTGTGAAATACTTCCTGGACTGGCCCAGGTAATGATTTATCGCCTTCAATACATGAAGAATCCCCTTGGATCTGAATAGGTAAAGCTACTCTATCTTCATCTCTTGGAGCTTCCTCTTGAACAGGTCGAGCCAATAATTGACGATATTTCCCTTGTGGAGAATCTTCTTGGACCGGAAGGGGAAAAGCTCCACTATCTTTGTCCTTCCTAGCTTCCTCTTGTGCCGGTTGAGGTAACGATTGATTACCTTGCCCTGGGGAAGAATCCCCTTGGATTGAAAGGGGTAAAGAACCGTTATCTTTATCACTTTGGCATTCCTCTTGCACTGGTTGAGCAAGCAATTCTTCTTTTTTCTCGGGGAGAGGAACCTCTAGGACTGCTAGGGGTAAAGCTCCAGTTGATTTATCGCCAGGGGATTCCTCTTGCGTCGGATGAGGCAATGCCTTCTCGTCTTTTCCCTCTTGTACTGGATGGAATAAACCTCCGCTACCTTTCTCCGAAGGGAATTCTTCTTGGAATGGTTGAGCAAGCGATTTCTCACCTTCTCCTGAGGGAGGCTCCTCTTGAAACGAACGGAATGAAGCTCCGCGAACTTCACCCCGTGATTCTTCCAAAGAAGGGAGCGATGCCTCTGAGGGTTCTTGGGAATTCTCTACGGGTGACCCTGTTTCGGGATCATGAGGATCTCTATTTTCCTGATCTTCTGGAAAATTAAACTGACTATCGCTACTTCCCGCAGTGCTTGGAGTTCTACGAGAAATAAAAAGAGTATTTATTTGATTTTAACTGTTTGAAATCGCCCACTAGCTTGGGAAGGACGACATACTTTAAGAATTTAGAAATAAGATCGCAAACCTTCGCAATATGCACGCCTTCTTGTTTTCCTGCTGTGAAAATCATTCTGAAACTATGGCCGGTCTCCAGTTTTCACGAGCAAAGTTGTTGTGAGAACTGACAGAGCTGGTTCTGACCTATAACTGGGACTGTCTTTTGAAATAGGTCAGCCATAACCTTCCTGTTCAAACCACTCAAGAAAATCCAAAAGTTGACTTTTGGTTTTCTCACACAATGACAACAAACAGTTCTTTCTGATCGGACAGTACTGATGAATGAAAACCCCCTGACTTGTAAGACAAAGGTTCCTATTCATTGCAGAGGGTGCTACTGCAGAATCATATCACTATCACGTGTAATGCCCTAAGTGTAGCAGTAACGTTTAAAAGCAACTTAATCATAAGTAAGGTGGAAAGAAAAAAATCCAGAAACCACCACTCTTGCGCTATTCGTCCCTGATTGTGGATAACGACTTATGCAGAGTTCGCGTCAAGACAAAAAAGCGTAAATAGCAAGAATGAACCTTCGTATCCTTGAGTTCTTTGAAACTAAGCTGACGAATGTTATGTTACCTCAAATTACTTTAAGCATTAGTCAACAGATATAATTTACCTTGATTGTCCCGTGTTCACTTTGAGCACGCTGTTATCGCCCACAGCTGCATTACCACCTGTCACATCAACATTATATTGAGCTCCACCATTGTGCATCTGCTGTGGGGGTGCACTATGGTATAAAATATCACGGGTCAAAATTCTCTTCACCTGCTGAGGTAGCACCCTGTTATTTCACGTGACGGTTGAAAAAATATCTCTTGAAGGAGCGAAAAGAATCCTTTTGAAAACTGAGACCACGAAAGCACATTTTGAATAAATGTCATGCACGATTGAAAAATTTTTGTACAAACATTTTTGCAGTAGGTGACTTACAAGAAAAAACCTAGAATGCAAAATAATTGAGACGGTACGTCCCTCAGGATGTT